GACTCGCCACTAATCTCCTCTCTCGCGTGTAATTTCTCAGCGACGCCTTGGCGCTCCTACCACTTACCACGCGCCCACCTGATTGATGCTCCTTTCGGACTGAGGTGACAATATTGTGGTCATGTTTGAGCCTCTGAGAAGCCATTTCCACCTCTTTTGGTGAAATTAACGCAGAGCTGAAGCTTCGAGAACGATGGATCACAACGCCGTTTCTCTTTTCTCGCTCGGCTGGTTTGCTTGTTGCAGAGGGTCCACGCTCACTCCGGCTTGTTTGTTCTCCAGATGGTAGAATTGGTCTCGCATCCTGCACTAAAATCCTCCCCTCGACCAGCGAACGGTCTCATGATTCAACCGACCCAACGTGCCAGCTAGAAATCCGCTAGCCCTACGAGGACCCAAGCACTTGTGCTCGTGCTCGTAGGCACAGTACGAGGTACTCGGTAGTGGTAGCATAATCGCTTCTTGCCCTCGATATAATCGCCCTTATCAGTCTATCGGCGCCAGGCGCTTTATTCGTACACGGCAGATGGCCTGCCACTGATGAAATTTCCCAGTAACAACAACCGACCCGGTGATTATCGGCCCAATGCAAACATTCGTCAGCGTGTGTGGGGAATTTCGTCCATTGTGGCTTTGGTTGACTTCTCGATTTATTCTCTGTCTGGTTGGTTTGTGCCTTTGCGTCGGTATATGTAGACAATATTTGGACACAAGCGCGATTCCTTCATGGACAGCCGGCTGACTGCTGGGCTAGCTGATCAAGCTTCATTCCCTATACCTTCTCAGAAAACTTTGCCCCGAGTGTCTGAGCAACGGGTGAAAGGGAGAGTACCCCTTCACCTTGCCGGTAGACCGGTACAGGGAGCCCCACGAATGTTCTGGTGGCTTTCGAACATGACACCTGGCCCCCCCAAAAACGTGGAAAACCCTCTGCCAGCTCCATGGCGTCAGAAATCGGCCTTGGTGGATGTTTAAGGCTGGAACAGGAGAGTGCGGCTAATGGAACACCCCCTTAGAATCCCTTTAAATAGCAGTCCCCCGCAATACCAAGCAAGCAGGTCGCAGGTTTTGCACATTGACACTTTCTCACTGAGGGGACGGAGCCGGTGAAACTTGAACAGTTGACACAGAGATGTGACCATCAGGTAAACCGATGCCCGCCGGCACGATGGTGTTAGGCGGGAGCATCTACCAAGCGGCGTCTAGAGGCATCGGCCGAGGCCAACAGACAAGGTATCCCCATGTGCATCTTGAAGGAATACCGCTTAAAAGCACAGGCGGCTGAATCCGTTTAGTCCGATGATGCCTATAAAAAGACATCGCCCAGACTCAAAAAGGATGCCGGAGCATCTCGGCAATGCTCGTGGTGCTACCCAAGTTTTCCTTTGCAGGATTCAAGTCTTTTGCAGCAAGTCTTCTGCACCAATTCTTGAGTCACCATCGGGCTCTGGTGAGCTGCAGGAACCGTTGGTTTGACAGACTGACCTGATAGGCGAGCTCTATCACTGGTGCCTCAGGCCATTGCGACCCCCAGACGCTTGAGCCCAGCTGAACCAAGCCTGACAAGCTAGGGTCTGCATATAAGCCCGAACCTGCGTCGTCTGCTGATTCAATGAGCCCTGTACCGAGTTGTTGCACGGCGCATTCCCTCAGGAAAATAAATATTCAGCTTGCTGATTTCATTTGTCATTGACTGCAGGGGCGCACGGCCGGCATATCGCGTGCACTTGAATCTGTCAGTCATTTGCATCCAGCCTCTCACTTTTGAGCTTGGCGCTCCGAGCCCTAGCAATGGCAAGTCCGTTGCCAAATGAGGCATGCACATGACCACTTTGACATCTGCCTTTCCCCAGACTTGCTTATCTTGAGAGTGAATCGAGATCGAAAATCCGACACACTACCGAGTACGAGGTACCTTGTCCTGGATCCTGGTATGTTCAACGAAAAACAGTCCTGTCAAAGGCCTTCTTTCGGGCTCCAATATGGTGCTAATATTCTTGTCTCCGTTGTATCGCTATCTTTGTCCCTGCTAGTCGTTATCAGTGGAGGAGCTGAGCTTCGACAGGCTGTAGTTCATGTGACTCCTCGATATCCCACCTTGTCTAGAGAAACTTTTAGGGACACACTCCAAAGCAAATGTCCAAAGGGAGGTTGCAGGCGGTACGGGTTCGCATTGGTAATCAACGCTGCTCCTATTGAGTTTGGTGGACCACTTGCTCGCAACCACTGAATCGATCACGATTCCTCGGTCTTCCATCAGAGTTTGCGGTTAAACACGGGCCTCCCAAGGCTTTCAATGCAGGGGAGGAAAACAATTCAAATCATGAATCATTTCGCAGGAATATAGATAATGCGCTGTTGTCAGAGCTCTGCATTGTTCCAGATCCTTTGGTCGAGTATCCATAGTGGCTGAACTCCACAGTCGATGAGGAAGAACAGTACAGGGTAGTTCGCAGCCTACATGGCGGCTCGCTAATTCCTCAGGCTTGAAAAATACTTGAAGGGGGGCTTCGACAGGCGTGGACCGCATTCCAAGTCGTTCTACCGGAATCGGAGGAGCCATATCGTCACTGCTGTACCAAGTATTCATTGGTTTGTTGGTGCCAGATCTTCCCGCGCTTCTGCTAAGTAGATCCCTTGCATCCCAAGCTCGTCTCCGCGAAGCTCCCAGCCACCTGATATTCGAGTTCCCACTCAAACGCAGAAAAAAGCTTCATGATATCTGAGTTTTCTCCAGCCATCTGCTTTATTATCTTTCAATGGGCGCAAAGGCTGGCACCAGGGAGTCTGCATAGGGCTCCTGCACGTCGAGGCAAGAATTGCTTACTCGCACGACCTGGGTTTGAGACATGGAGTGAGCGCTCGGCATCGCGAGTCGGATCGACTGCTTTCTTCTTCATAGATCTAGCAAGTCTCATGCCAGTTATAAGCCCGCTAGGGCAAGAATAGAGGACTCTGCTTGGTCAAGCCTCCGCGGCATGAGGGGGCTTGAAGGAGTTTCTTTTGCGCCGTCCAGCTTACCGGCCCGAATGTATTTGCAATGTTCAAAGCATGGCAGCGCCAGCGTCAAAACAAGCCTGTACATGTCCTGATTGCCATTGACAGGGGCGTTTGCTTGGAAGAACTCAGGTGACGGGTAATAAATGTGACGCCCGTTTCATAGTGGCGGATGAAGTCAAATTCTGGACACGCAATTGTGGTATTGCGTCGGAACGTTGAGAAAGATCATAGTGAGCAGCAGCTGCGCGAGTCTCAGCAGGCATGAAGTGGCTTCACTGCGATTTCAGCACATTCCCATGTCCGTCTGTATCCCTATTTGCCCTCCAAACGCCTTCTTCAACCTCACCAGTATCTGCGAACCACTCTCTCTTCCAGATCTCTGCTCGAGCCTTGACTCTTTCCAGGATCTCTTCGGCACCTGCCCAGCCACTGGCACGATGCCCGCTACTCACGCTAACGGCAATGCTCTCTTCTTCAACCTTGACCTCGCCCAGGCGGTGGGCGATGACCACCTTCTCTAGCCCATGCTTTTTCTGCACGTCCTCGGCAATAGCGTAGAGAGACTTGAGGGCGAGGGAAGGATACGCAGAATATGAGAGGCGAGAGACTGGGCGATGGTCGAAGTTGTTGCGGGTGGTGCCCAGGAACAGAACGTTGGCGCCCGCGGTAGGGGAACGGGTGAATCGCAAGTAGGATGGGATATCGAGAGGGTCATAGACGAGAGAGATATAGATAGTGTCAGAGGAGAGGATTTGGGGAAAGTTAGATGGGTTGAGGACAGAGGTTGTTGCAGTACTAGCAGACGAGGTCTGCGTCGAGGACGCATCGGCCCCGTTGGTCAAGGGCGCTGGAATGTCTGCAGACATGGCTCTTCCGGTATGAGGCGAGGTTTTCCTAAAGAGCGGGGAGCAACTGTTCTCTGTCAATGCTCATCAACTTCAATGATATCTGATTTTCCATTAGTGCACTAGTTGTGGAATCATGTTGATATGTGGTGTGTCAAGTCTTTGAATGCCTCTTAAGTTACATGCGGTCAAAAGTTCTGGCTGATAGCCGGGAGTGGCATCTTCTCCAACATCCAAGTGTTTTTCTCGGCTGAGCCGCCGATACGTCATATCGGTTCAATAGCTCAGCAGTTTTTCATCCCACCACTTCAACTCACCACCAGGCACCTCGCTCTTTCACGACTTGACTCACGCATGTGTTTCTCACACCTGTACCCCGTGTATGCGAGTCAGCAACATGAGACACCAATCAAGGTAGCTCCGTCAACGTCTCCCTGTGAGTTTCTCCCGTCCTTTGCCAGCGAATAGCTGATGTTAAACTACCCGTGACCACCCAACCACGCCCTCGCGTCAATGTGAGGCGACTTCGCCATGTCCTTTTATTCGCTACCAAAAGAATGCAACTTCGCATCCCGGCCAAAACTCTCCCCCCCCACACACAAGAGGGCAAGGAAAATCCAAAGCAAACAAAATAATTCCGAATCTTGCAAAAAACCACGATTTGGGCCCTCTTCAATGGAGCCACGTCTACGTCTCACCGCCTGCCATTTATTCCCTTGTTTTCCACTCATACCGATCAAATCGAGGTGTTTGTGTGTCTAAGACCTCGCGTGCATACAGATTGTCCCAAACAAGAAATCAGAGTTGCCTAATGAAGAACTTCGTGACCCAGGAACAAGAATGAAGTGGCTGGTAAGCAATGGGATTGGTCGTTGAGTATATGCAAGCTGGGAGACGGCGTCATCTTGATCCTCTGTTTTGTCAGGGCCAGATAGTGGACATGGAACCAACATGCGGTCCTCATAGACATGTATTTGTTATTTCCCATTTGCTCTTGTTCAATTGCTCTTTTATTTCTGGTGATACATCTCTCTATTTCCGATCATGAACATTGAGGTACAGTCTTGCAGAAGTGGAGTTTTTGTTACAACGTTACCCTCTCGCATCGCCATGCTGTGCAGACCTCAACACTAGACACACCCCTCTCTCAGTTCATTAGTTACCGCTAGAAGTCACCTCTTTCTTCTCAAGGTAGGGCAGCGGTGTCGTATCAATCGGCTTCCTCTCTCTTCTCCAATCCCTGATGTGCTGGAGTACAATGGCCGCCGCACTTTCCGGTGTGTCTTGCCTTCCAATACACTCGACAAAGTCACCTTCGGGATCCATCACGTAAAAGTATATGCTGTGGTCCACCAAGTAATCTTCTTCGCCCGGCTTCAGCTCTGGCGGCGTGGAGAAATACACCCGATATTGTTTACACACGTCCTTGGTCTGTTGCCATGTACCAACCAAACCGAGGATAGCAGGGTGGAATTCGGCCAAGTATGCTTTGAGGACATCGGGAGTGTCGCGATTAGGATCGCACGAGATGAAAATCGGCCGTACTGTGTTTGGGGCTCTCTCTTGGATAATTTCGAGGGCTTCGCCCATCTTGTCAAGCTCGTCGGGGCAGATGTCGGGACAATGGCTGAAACCGAAATATATCTACCAGCCAAACCATTCGTGTCAGTCTCAGGAGAACTTCAAACATTGACGCGGGAGTGCGGACATACGAGTGAATATTTGCCCAATAAATCTTTGTCTGTGAAATCATTGCCATCGACATCCTTCAATGCGAACGGGCCGCCGACCTTCGGCTTCCCGTAACCTTTGCTCATCTCGACGATCCTCTTGCGTTCCAACCGTTTCTTCTCGAACTGGAAATAAAATATCATGCCTGCACCGACGCCGACGAAGAGCGCCGCTGATCTGAATGAGAATGGCTGCACATGGCAAGCGTCAGAGGAAGGCACGTACCCCGGATAAAGATACGTACGCCTGTGCGATGGTACAATCTATCCCCCATTCTTAATCTCGAGCTTGAGGAGGAAAAAGACCGCGTCTGAAGACATTGAGACGGCGGGCCATGTCGTCGTGGTTGCTGCGACTTGAAAGACGATGGCTTAACTCGGGCGTGCACCGTCTGCAGGTGAATCGATCTGCTTTTACTGGAGGCTAGCGGGGTGGCTAGCCTCTGGACAGCTCTATGCAAGGGAGGCATACGGCCAGGCGTTGGATTGAGGAGTTGACAGTGAAATACAAGAACTGCGTTGGTGATGAGTGGACTGACTGAAGCAACTTTCTGTGGCACATGGCATGATGGGGTTCAAGCACGGCACCCTACTCGCCCACTTGTCAGCGGCGGAGTGGAAGAGTCGGAAGCGCACTCGGCACATACTCACGTGACACAACATAAAATTAACATAAACTTACCATTCGTGTCTTGCCTCTCTTTCCAAAGACCGCCACAAGCTCGGAGGAACAGAGTGATATGTTCGGCATATGTCACACAATCCAGCGTCAGGTGAAGCCTCAAAATCAAGATTCGACGCGAAGTCCTAGGCCACCGCCCCAGCACGACCCGACCTCCATGCCTACACTATCCACACCGCGCCCCAGCATCAGGTCGAATAGGACCCACCAAAGAGCATCTTCCCATTCTGCTTTTCTTACACGAGTGGTTTAGACAGGATCCCAATGTCACTTATGGTCACGGGTCAGATCAAATGTTCTGGGCATTACACCACTCTGGGAACCAGATACAGCGAGTGATGGAAGAAGACACGATGAACACATATCCTCACATACACGGATTCCCTCCATGGTCATTCCCACCACGTCCGGTGGTTGTCTCGTGCGTACGGTCATTCTAACTCTGCACCGTTGGCCTTCCTTCTCGGATTGCGACATCTGGCACGATGGGATGCTTGTTCTCATCCTGTCCCGCTACGGGCGGCGGCACATACTCCTTCCTCCCGGCCTTGTGGACACGACCGTTGATCATGATGACATTCAACTTGCTGTGATCCTGGAGGACGTCAATGTCGTCAATCGGATTGCCGTCAACGAGGATGCAGTCCGCGTAATTGCCTTCCTTGATCTGGCCCATCTCATCGGCTCGCATCATGACCTTGGCCACGCCGTAGGTGGCGGCGATAATGGACTCGTGAGCAGTAAACCCCATCAAGTTCTTGAAATGGGCCAGGTCGCGAGCATATGTTCCGTGAGGAGTCCATGCAAATCCATAGTCACTAACGAGAAGCAGCTTAGCGGTCGTGCGAGCAGATGGTGGATCGAGAGAGTCAGAGGAGCATACTTACCCGCCAGGAAGGACTACGATGCCTCTCCGATGCATCTCACGAAGTCCTCGCAATGCGATCTCAAGCTCCTGATCATTGCCTTTACGTCAGTATACCTGACTTGAAGCGGCTGGCACTTATAGGGACTCACCTTTTTGTAACCAACTTGCTCGGCCTTCTCATGGGAATAACCGAATGCTGCAGCGTCATTCAAAGTTGCAACGAGCCAATTGATTGCTGGAGCCACGACATGCTTGGTCCGTGCCTCCTCCAGCATGTCCATGCCCTCCTCGTCGATATAAGATCCATGATAAATGACGTCCACCCCATGCTGAAACGGTGCTGTGAGCTTATGTCTCGACTATTGCGGTAGGCGAAAGATGGGACCGCACGACTGACCTTGACACACATCTTTACAGAGTCTCTTGCTCTTGCGTGTGCACAGATGGATTTACCTGCTTTGTGTGCTTCTTCCACGCAGATAGCTGTCTCTTCGTCTGTGAAATAGCAGTCTTGAGCTGATCGTACTTCGCAGATCTACATTTCCGGTCAGCAGCGGTGAGCATCAAGCAGCCTGGACCTTTGGGAGCCAACCTCTTCTCCGGACATGACGAGTTTGATGTTGTCAACCCCAATGCCGACGTGATGTTTAATGACTTCCCTCATCTCCTCAGGTGTGTCTGCAAAAGCAGTGATTGCTGCTTCCAAGTCACCGTCACGCTTGGCCATCTCCTTTCCATTGGCGAGAGACCGTGGTCCGGGAATGTCGCCGGCGTAGATAGCATCCCGAATCGCGACGTCGAGACGTTCCTTGGCAGATGCAGCACCATAGCACCTTTCCCGAGTCGTCAGTGATCCACTCTCACCCTTCACAGAGAGATTCCGGTCGGAAATCTTACATGGTATAGCCGGAATCCAGGTAGCATTTTGCACTCCGGGCGGTCAAGAGAGTGTGCTCCTCAACATTCAAGCCGCCCAGGGAAGCGAGATCGCCACCGTTCCAGGAGAAGTGGGTGTGCGAGTCACCCAGGCCTGGCATCAATGTCCGTCCCTTGCCCTGAAACACTCGAACATCTGGGTTTTGCAGCAACTGCTCCTTGTTGGCGACATTGCCGACTGCCTTTAAACGTTCGCCTGGCAAAGCAAGGTCAGCAACGCGGACATAAGAAGAATTCAGACGAGTCCAAGCCGCGGAGAAAGAAGTCATGCTGCCAGGGACGAATAATCTCTCGTTCACCTTGGATGAAGACATCGCCACGGTAAGGCGGCTTTCCCGTGCATTCCAAAATGCTGACATCTAGGAAAAGGATCTTGGAGTCCGGATCTGTGCCCAGGATCTCGTACTTGGGAGGTTTCACACTCTCGTTGAATTTGATGGCATCAATATAGGCGACGTTGCGTGGGGGCCCATCGTAAGGCTCGGGTCGGTAAGCGGGAGACGTCCATGGAACGTCTTCCACGATTCTTGCTGGAGCCATGCCGGGCAGTTTCAAGGAGAAGGATCAAAAGAGGTGTTTTGACAACGTCTAACCTCGTCTCTGGTTTCTTCACGTTTGAAAATTCACATATGATGGTTCTTTCCCAGTTATGAAATGTTTTGAGATGTCGGTACTGATCGAGAAATAGTCGGGCGAAAGGGGAAGTAAAGGGCACCTCTATCTGACCCTGGCTCAATTTCACACCTGCATGCATGCTTGGGGTGGTGGCATTCTCCCAATATTCACATTGTCAGTCGAGGGTCTTTGTGCCCCAACGGGAGACAGACTGCAAGGATTGTCTCTCTCCCCTCTTCTCACCCCAAACAGGTTATGCCCAAAGGGAAATGGGATGTGAAGGAAACTTGACAATCCCGTCCGTGCCGGATCCTTCTTTCCAATGCACCCCGCAAGTTTAGGGCCCCCGCGCTATCCATCCACAGGCATCCACGTTACATGTGAACACCTCATTGTTGCAGAAAGAGGGGTTACAAGTCCCCGGTCCCCTACCCGCAGGTAGGTCGGCGTGATTCGACATACAGTACAAATACCCGGCCGGAAGGTCCTTGTGCTGGAGACTGTGAGCGTGCGAGCCCCTGCTTGAGGGCCCAGCGACCCCTCTATTGCACTTATGCTCACGACTCAAACGATCGTCTGTGGGCGAGTAGGGATGGTCCGGGAATACACGGGGATTGACGGTCTCTCGCTAAACACGGGGAAGATATATTACAAACATACCTAGGGACTTTTGGTCTCACGCCCGTCGCTCGATAGGGAAGGGAACGAACGGATGGGTGTTGTAGGCAGGCAAGCGAGTACGCGCATGTTCGTCGTGAAGGGGGAACAATTCCTCATCTAGTTATCTTGATTGCGTTCTTGGTCTGGTCAAGTTCGAAACAGGTAAACACTAAACGATAAACAGCACCCACAGATATGGTGTGGATGCAAGCCGCGCGGAGAGGTCGATTCGGACCGACGAGACCTCCGCAACAAGACGATGGCGAGGCGACCGTCAATGCCAATGCGAAAGATGTTGTCGGCGGCAGCGACGGCGGCAGCGACTACGACGAGAATGGAGACAGACGATTCCCCTTCGCGCCAGAGTCATTACCCGACGACGCCCTCCCTTTCATCCCCAAGGAACTGGTCCTCGAATGTGCCCAGCGGTCGAAACCACAAGATCAAGACAGAACCCGGGATGACGCACAAAGAGGTCTCGACGACGACCACGCAAGAGATGAAGACAATCGCTCCAACCCCGCCGAGCGCTCCGGCCGCCCCGAGCGCTGGATCGTCATCGACAACATCGTCTTCGACTGCCGCGACTTCCTCGTACACCACCCGGGCGGCGAACAGGTCATCCTCAGCTTCGTCGGCGAGGACTGTTCGTGGCAGTTTTGGCGGCTGCACGGCAAAACCGTCATGGAGCAGTACGGCCGGGCACTCCGGGTCGGGAGGACCGAGGGCGTCAAAAACCGCTTCGTCGAGCCCGTCAGGTATGTCGGTTTGTCGGGGTTGGGGGATGATGGGTGGTGAATACACGGGGAGATTAGAGAGAGAGAAAAAAAAAAAGGGGGGGCGGGGGGGCCCTTTTTGGTTGATGGGGAGAAGGGCGCAGCGAACCGAGTGATGGGTTTTGAGTCTCACAGAGAAAGAGAGAAGAGATCCTGGTTCCTGGTCCTGGGCATGGACTTTCGTTCTGGATCTGGATCTGAATGGACTTTGGTTTTTTGTATATACTTCGTTCGTATACAGTACATATTTTTCGCGGCCGCGAGTCAGCCCAGAGCAAAGAATCTAAACTGACTTCATCTCATATCTGCTGTGATTGTGCGTCAAAGCCAAACCCTTGGGGCATATTCGGATTCTCTCAATGGGGGACTTGGAAAGTGAAACCCGGCCCCCACCAACAAAAATCATCACCCTGTTGTTCCTGAGACTGTGTGTGGTAGAGAGAGATGAGAAGAAAACCAACAAGTTATGTCTATGTCTATGTGTATTCACTACTGCTCTGCTCCACGAGCGCAGTCTTCAAAGCCACGACGATACTTGTAGCTACCCACCCAAGAACGTTATGTCTGTTGCTCGACAGTTCTACAAGTAGATGAGATGAGATGGAAGAGAGTAGAGTATAGTATGGCGATATGGGCGATAAACTTCCTTGGCGAACTCGACCCCATGGGGTTAAAAACTCTCGTAGGACCTCTACGAGAGTACCTCGTGCTGTGCGTGCAGGAGTGATAAATAATAGAAGAAAAGTGTGTGTGTGAGTGTCTGGGCATTAAATGGTTGGTGCATTTGGATTTTTGGGGGGGGGGCGGGGGGAAGATCGACATGACAGAGAGGAGAGGGCGGCGAAAGGCGGATGAAGGCGGCATAGCGGGTAATGATAGACATGGACCATTCAATGGTGGTGGTGACCGGGGCATCCAATGGAAAGGTGTAATAGTAAAGACAGACTTTCTTCGTCTCTCCTCGTCGGCTTCTCACGCCGGTAAAGTGGCACAGTGGCAGAGTGGCTGCGTACATATCCGGTGGAAGGATGACTTTAGCCAGCTTCTCTTCAGTCCCCCATCTTTCACAGCCTCTTGTCACACGGAGTGAACGAGGCAAAGCAATAGATAACGGTCTCAAATTGGCCATGGAGATTGTCTGACTGCTTCCAACCCTTAAGTAACCCAAATTTATTACTCTCCTCATCTGGCAGAGCCGATAAGTGGACTTCCTCATCCGGGGGTTGAACCATGGCTACATCAGCAACACCTGGTGGCGGCGGGGTTTCTCCCATCAAGAGCTTGACCAACTATGCATCGTATATCCCAGAGGGAAGCAAAAGGCCGCGAATTGGACATCTTGACCTGGACTCCAACACCGTCACACCTCTCTCTTACATCTCCGGCACACCGATAAGGAGTCTTTACGAGGTGATTGAAGTGGGCGAAGACGCCATCATCCAAGCCGGAGAGCCGTTCCCGCGGAGCAAGGCGAGATTGTTACCCCCGATTTATGGCCGGGATATTCTTGCCGTTGGGAAGAACTATGCAGTGAGGACTGGCTTGCCGGATATACTGAGTTGCTCGTGACTGATGGATGTTCTTCAGGCCCATGCCAAAGAGTTCAATGCTTCCGGGTAAGGTGGCCTTGTGAGAGAGATCGCTCGGTATCGAATGACGGGCTGACCATCTCGAGCCTTACAGCTATGACAGCTCTGACAAGGTCGATATGCCAACTCATCCCGTCATCTTCACCAAGCGGTGGACATCTGCTATCGCAGATGGGGACGAGATATTCCCCCATCCAGGCTTCACCGAGTCGGTGGACTATGAAGGCGAGATCGGGGTCATTGTAGGCAAGTCTGGATTCCAGATTGACGAAAAGGATGCCCTCGAGCATGTCTGGGGGTTTACCATTATCAATGATGTGACGGCTCGCGAACGGCAGCGGGACCATAAGCAGTTTTACCTGGGGAAATCGTGAGTGGTTATCCGCACCTTGCAGGAGACGGGGTAGCCAGGGTCACCATCCTACTCAAGACCCTCGCAATTTCAGCTAATAGTGCGTCCAGACCCGATACCTTTGCGCCAATGGGTCCGATCGCGGTCCCAAAGGAGCATCTTCCAAAGGTGCTTACTGTCCAAACTGTCGTGAATGGCGAGAAGCGACAGGAAGCGACAACCGACGACTTGATCTTCAGCATCCCGACATTGATCGAGACACTGTCCGCAGCGCAGACACTGCAACCAGGGGATGTGTTGGCCACTGGAACCCCGGCCGGTGTTGGATTTGGCTTTGATCCCAAGGTGTGGCTGCACCCTGGCGACGAGGTCAAGATCTCCGTAACAGGCCTTGGAACCTTGACAAACAAAATTGCGAGTCCAGAGTCGAGGATTAGCATCCTCAATCACATTGTCTCGCCTGCCGTGCCCGTTGTGAATGACCGGACGGTCGAGGGCCGTGGACTCAGCTCTGTTGGCTCGAAGCGGCTGTTCTACCAGCGAAAAGGCGGTGATGATGCTGGGCGGCCCATCTATTTCATTCATGGACTCGGCGGCACTTCAGAATATTTCGGCCCACTAATGACAAGGCTGGGGAACTCCTGGACATATCACCTGGCAGATCTCGAGGGCCACGGGCTATCGCCCACATCCGCGACGAGCAAGCTGAGCATCGCTTCTTTTGCCTCGGATGCGTATCAGCTTTGCTCCCAGGCAGGTATCACCTCCGAGTCCGGCCTCACCGTGGTCGCACATTCGATGGGCTGCTTGGTTGCGATGAAACTGGCCCTGGATCATCCGGATTTGGTCAAGACGCTCATCCTGCAAGGGCCCGGCCCTTCACCGCTCCCAGAAGCCGCCAGCAAAGCCACATACGCCAGGGCTGCCCTTGCTCGGGAAAAGGGCATGCTGGGGGTGGTGGATGCGGTCGTGGGCGCAGGCACATCCGATTACAGCAAGGCACATAATCCTCTCGCAATCGCCGCCGCTCGAGTCTCCTTGTTGGGACAAGACGCCGAAGGATATGCAAAGGCCTGTACTGCACTGGCAGACTCGCGCGCCGACACGTTGGACATCTCAGCGTTGAAGGCGAGAGTGTTGATCATCACGGGAGAGGAGGATAAAGTGTCGCCGCCGGATATGTGCAAGAGGATGAAGGAACAAATGCCCAACTGCGAGGATGTTGTTGTGCTTCCGCAGGTTGCGCATTGGCACTTGTTTGAAGCAACCGAGAGTGTTTGTTCAGCTGTCACCGACTTCCTGGGTAAGTAATTAATATCCACAAGCCGGCGCATTTCGGGATCATTTGAGTCAGGATATCGAAGCTAGAAAGAAGAAAATTGTGTAGAAGACTTGTAGACTTACATACAGTATGTACTCTGGTTCTCTAGATAGAGTTGCTTTTCTACCTTTGAGGTTGGAGACAAGTCGGGCGTTGCCGTCGATCCTGTGGGTGGCTAGAGGTCCTTTGTGCTCAACGGTGGTGCTTGTAGAGGATCAGCACGGATGTGGCTGAATCTAGTGGTACCTAGTTGTACCTAGTAGTTGTGATGCCCGTAAGGATTTCCCAAAACAACCCGGGACTTTGCGGGGGAGCAGCAAAAGGGGTGTAGCTCAGTACCATTGATCCCCTCCTGGGACAAGTCTTTAGGGGGGCATTAGGGGTCCGGGGTGTCATTAGGGCCTAAGTGAAGCCCACCAGCTTCACTATCCCTGCCCTCTAGACGCCCCCAGGACCCTTCCCCCGTTCTTCCCGAATAATCCCTTCATTTCTTATGCCCTTCTAATGCCCACCAGTGCCTAGAAATATTCTACCCGATGGGCCGTTCTTATGCCTAGTGATTCTTATGTTTGTACCTACAAGTGCTTGTGCAATTAGGCTTTAGTCTCACTATCTCCCCCCCCCCCTCGTCGCCCCCATGTTACACCTCAACCAACCCGGTGCCCGGCCCCGGATTTGTTTTCTCGGTGCTTAACTGGACAAAACATTCATCCACGTTGATGACCTTGACACTTCCATCCTGCTTCATCCCTTCATCCTTCGTCGTTCTAACCTTCTAATCTTTCACTTGGTCGCATATGCTGCCTCTCATCGCAGCCACAAATTGCTGTATCAACCATTGAAAGTATCGTCTCGCGTTGATATTGAGTCTTGCTCTCTCGTCCCTCCACTCAAAGAGCTGCGGATTTGCTTTTCCGTGTTACATGGCGCCTCAGGTCGACAAACGCCAACCTCGGGTGCCTCTGAGCTGCGAAAACTGTCGGAAACGAAAAATCAAATGTTCGGGCGAAAGACCCTTTTGTGACACATGCGCCCGTCGTGGCTTCAGCCATACCTGCTTCTATCTGCGCCAAAATGTGCAAATCCCTGCAGGGACCAGCTCCGATGAGGTGCTCCAAAGAGTGAGAAGAGTCGAAAATCTCCTTGAGAGACAAGTCTACCTCCTCGAGCAGCGGCTTGAACCTTCACCAAAATCGAATTCGTCCAACCAAGATACATTGTCCCAACATCAATCGTCGTCCGTGAACTCATCGCCCTGGACCGAGATCGAGGCGACTCCTTCTGAGACTGCTCCGGCAACAAATGTCGGTACGATCCTGGTATCCGAGGAAGGTTATGAAAGATTCATTCCCGGGCTCGCTTCTTCAGACGCCGAGTCGGTCAATGAACTGATTCAATCTGCTTCTGCTCCACCAATGTCATCGAGCTTCCCCTTCTCCGCCGAGGCACTCGCCGCGCGAAGAGCGCTTTTGGACACCCTACCTCCTGGACGACAGTGTGACGAACTGAAGGATATATTCTTCGAAGTGTTCTCGCCGGTGAGTGTCACTTAAAGCTTCTTAGTATCTCTCCAGTCGTCCACCTCGCCCCCTCAGGGCAGATCTGCCAGAGCCTCAGGAGGAATACCCTAGTGGCTCAAGGATCTGAGATTTGTAAAGTGCTGTTGGCACTCAAAGAGAGCCATGCTTTCTCCTCCTTGTCACAAATGTGGTAGGTACGGGCAGAGATGGTCTTGTTAAATGGTACAAAAACAAAAACAACAACTTTACACTCCCCAACGAGTGGCCTCCCGCACCAATGCACGAGAAACTACCCTTCCGACGATGCTGACTCAGTCTCAAACAGCTCTTTCACATACTCCATGACCCATCATTCCACGCCGAGTACGCCGACTTTCGCCAATACCGAGGAGATGTGTCCCTCTCGTTTCTTGCCCTGGTGTTCGTGATTCTCTCCATCTCTGTTACTGCACTGGACTCGGATCATCCACTGCTCGCAGACCTCGGAATGGAAGCGACGGCGTCAGCAAATATCAAAAGCTTAGCGACAAAATACCGAGCCGCCGCCATGGGATGCCTCTCAGCAGACCATTTTATGTGGCGACACAACTTGCAGACTGTGCAAGCTTTGGTCCTTTTGATATACGCACTTTCACATGCTCATGGCCCTTCATGGGCCTTGTTGGGGGCTACCTTCAACATTTGCGTATCGATCGGTTGCCACATCGACCCGTCTCAACTGAACCTAGATCCTGTGAGAAGTGAACAGCGACGCCGGTGTTGGGCTGGCCTCATGTTACTGTATACCATTCAAAACACTTGTCTGGGGAACATTGCCCCGATGAAGGTCATAGCCAACGTCCGTCTTCCTGCCGACGTGGACGATGACCACATCACCATGTATGACAATCCGCTGTTGCACACAGATGAAACCCAACCCAAACCCCTGAGCAAAATGTCGTACATCCTCTTCAAATTCAAACTATATCGGCTGGCGTCCGATATAACAAACTTCACCCGGGAAAACGGGAAGTTGAGCGGCCTATTCGAGCTCGACGCAAAGATCTCGAGGGAGGAGCACGAACACGACGCACGGTTCGCCGACCCTCAGCGGCTTCCAGTTTACCATCTGGCTCATCTATACATCATCAAAAACTATACGAATCACCTGCGACTCATCCTCCATCGACCGTATCTTCCACCACATTCTTCGGCGGCGGACAGCACATTGTACGAGTACCCGGAACAAATGCTGCAGAGCCGGCAGTATTGTAAGATGTCGGCTATGAAGATCATTGACAACCACGAGGACCTCTGCTGTAACGACAAGTTGAAGCCTTATCGCTGGTTCGTGTACGGTCTGGGTGGCTACCAAACGTTTCTGGCAGCGTCGACGCTTGTGGTGCTGCTTGGGTCGGAGGACGACTCGGTCACTTCAGACCGCGCGGATGTCATCTACGCTCTTCGAAAATGTCAAGCACGGTTCGAGCAGCTGTCTCCGCGCAGCGACATCTCGGCCAAAGCGGCCCGAATCCTGCGCCGCACGCTTGGTCCCGTCCCGAGTACCAACGGTGGTGCTGGGGGTCCCCTTCATGACACCCCAAGACTGTACCATCAGTCCTCGAGCATTAACGACGAGTCCAAGGTCGTGTACAGTATGAGCCACCGACACCAAATATCCAGCGCTTCCCCCGGCAACCTCCATGACCACCACCTCCACCACCAGCAACAGCAGCACACATCAGTCCCACCTGGTCCTGCTGGATACAACCAGACGGGTTTCACCAGCGGTGACTTTCCCAGTGGTGCCAACGAGGCCGTCACGACAAAAATGGAACCACCACCTCCGCCGCCAACGTCACAGCACCAACACCAAGTCCAGTACCAGCACGAGCTCCAGCACCAGCACCACCATCAACAACAGCAACAGCAACAGCCTCCCCCTCATCCTCACTCCTTCTTCCCCTGCCCACAACCGCTCTACGAGCTGATGAATCTCCCCGCGGAGCAGTGGCTGGGCGGCCCCTCCGCGCTGGCCTGGGACTGGAGCAGCTGGGTCGACGTGCCCGAGGCCTCGATCGCGGGATCCGACATGTTCATGGACACTTCGGCTTCTGGCGTCGTGATGTGATGCTATCTTGTGTCCTTTGTTGTATTTCTAGAAGGACATGGACATGCGGATATAGATATGAAAAATGTAAATACCCCCTGTGCGTACGATAGACAATTGGTACGATCTGCTCGGCCGAGACTCGAGATAAGGTAGTTTTAGTACGTCGCTTCTTCTCCTTCCCATGCTCATATCCAGGGTTTTGACTCCGATCACGAGATGACATGCCATGTCATGTAATTACGCACCGTGCACTGTTGGCTGGCAGGCAAGATGGGATGTCTCTCAACGACCACGAAAGCCACGACTGGACGGATGAGAACTTCGACGACGCGGGTTTGGGGAAAGGGGACAGGAACAGGGATATACCGTCGTTCGATAAAACACCTATATAGGTAACTGAGGACTTTTAATGATTTGATATTACGGCGAGATACCCATCGTATGGACCGCCGAATAACTACTATCCCGTGCACTTACGGAAGGCTTCAAAGGCACCGCCAGCACCGCTTCACATTATGTACTTTTCTTTACCCCAGAGCCCTCTCCAGCCTGTTCCTGACGGCCAGCCACCAGTTCGCTTGCTGCTCGACCTCGTCTCTTGGTTGAATGGCCCGGATGGTCTCGATTGGCCGCTGCGATTTGACCTGTTCCTCGGCGAAGAAATTACCATGGAGGCCATAGGGTACTCTCTGCGTCAGGTATACTCGAGCGACCAACGTCTTCATGTCTCGGGCATCAATGATCCACAGCTCACTTTTGGCATCGGGACGACATTCGCCTGATGAGTCTAGCTGTGATTCGTCAAAGACATAGGTCAGCAGCCAGCCATCATCTTCCTGAGTGCCGCTTTCACGTGGCACAAAGTGTGGCTCCTGTGCGAACCAGCCTCGCGGAAGGCGAAAAATCGAGATTGGGTCATCCTCCTCCCGAAATTGTAAGATCGTATTGATACACCTTGTATCAACACAGTCAAGTACGCCCCGGGTATGTGAATAAGTCTTGCCTCGCTTGATGAGCGTCTCCACATCTGCCTTGACCAAGCAGTCGATCTTCGCAGCACGGCCAAGGGCGGCTCCAAAGGTGCCAATGGAAGTCGAACAACCAAAGACATACCTAGCCTGGCTCATTGTGCTGTCTTTCCTAATATTGGGAAATTCGAACGGGATAGCGCTTAATGCGAAGTCATGTGTTATGCGCCCTGGCTGTGTCATTGAGAACTGATAGTAGTGGAGCCGGCACTGTTCTTCACTATCAGGCCCATTGAGCATTTGTTCAGGAGCGGGAATATTGCCTGCATCAAAAATGACCGACGCCGAAGTCAGTCGACATGCGAGCATATTGACGGCAGTTGTCCGCAGTTGTCCCGTTACCTTGTCAAGCACCTGATCTTCCCACGTATTCGCAGTATGGAAGATGCAGCATGCTTTTGTCTTAAACCAGACAACCTGCTGGGGCAGGTATCGAGGAAAGATACCGAATCGAGAATGAGACGTTGCGTCGTAGGTAACAACAGGCTTATTTTTTACCAAGTTCAATGGATCCAGCGACAGAGGCAAGTCCATGATGACAGTGTGGTGTGCCGACACTCCAAAATCATGCATCATCTTTGCCGACGAGATCCCCGGAACTGGGGCATTCAGAAGCCTGATTGGTCTCTCGAGCGGCGAAGAAGGGACGGCGGGCGAGAAGGTCGCAGGAATAATCGAGTAATGTACATATGGAGGGACAAAAGTCGAGTGGAAGAGGACCAGCTCTCCCGTCGTCGGGTCGACACGAGGATGGGCGGTGGTCCATTCTTTCATGAACCGCAGTAACCCATCTCCCCCAAATCCCGAGCCGTTCTCTCCTCCCAGCTCCCCTTCTGCTCTCTGCCCGTTGAACCAGCCAACAGTTTCGAGGCCCGGAAGAAGGACCCTGATTGGGGGGCCGGATTCGCAGGTGGCAAGAGCGCGACCATCATGGAATAAAACACCCGTGTTGGCCACGCTGATCTTCTTAATGGCTTGGACTGAGCCAGGAAGTCGTGATAATAAGACAAATAAGATGCTGCGGAAGATAAGGGCGATGAGCTTGTACAATGAGGTCAATGGATTGACCAATGCTGCTATGCTCGGCAGGATCGGATGGCGCAGGTGTTTTGAGGATATTGTGGACAGATAGATGTCGGTCAAGATGTATTGGTTGACAAATTCTGGTTGCACACCATTGGCAATTCGTGTGAACACGACACCGCTGAGCATACCATCACCGTCGAACCAGTGCGCATCCCGGCCCAAGTCCTCGTTTGCCACTGGGTTGCCGCCATTTCGCACGTATTCACCTCCAAATAGCTCTTCTGGTATGCTCCCAGAATATGGGCATGGTACTAGACTCTGGGCCTTCTGCAAAGGAGCAAAGTTGCCACTAAGGTAGGGATGCGGATGGCTTCTCTTGCAATCTCGAGGGGACTTCGCGCTCGAGGGCGAATAGGATGGGGGCTTTCTGGGTGCATCTGGTGTGACGACGGAGGAAAGCGAGTTGGTCATACTCGAGACAAGATGAAAGAACCCAGCAGTGGTGGAGATCCTCGACACAGCCTGAAGCCGAATCCTTCCGTAATGTGTCGGTTTGCTGCTAAACCTTTAAGAGGGGATCTTTATCAAAGAGTGAATGCTTCCACAAGTCATGCAAGGTCGACGTCTCTTGTCCGAGGCCGTTGGATGTGACGGGGTCCGAGACGCCCCTCAGGATCAAATTCAAACATGCATCGGATCACGCAACCAGAGAGAAGAGAAGGGTCGATTCACATGTCAGCACCAGGGGGACCTTGCAAGTGAGGAGATAAGTTAGTGGCCTTGCTAAGCTCACATGATGAAGTCGTCGCAGGACAAGTAGGGGAGAATGCGTTGATCTCATTGCCAACATGTCTCCTAAAAACATCCAACCAGAGGAAAGCAAAGGAGGGGAAAACAGCCCAGTGAAGACAAAACTGAAGTCAGCCGAGCAGGTGGAAGCATCGAAGCTGCAGGTCAACGATGCGGAGGAAATCATGGCGTCATTGAGCACTGGCCGGTGGCAGCAGTGTCATTTGAGCTAGTAGAGAGCCAAGACGCTAACTGATGATAGCGACCCATGGTCAGAACCATGAACAGAATGTTAGCCGAGAATCCGCTACCTCTTTTGTAGCTCGACTCTGGCTGCTTTTGTCGGAAGCTGCACGCCGCGGCCCGTCAGCCTCGTGTCCGTGTGGCTTGACCCCCACCACCATCGCCCATCACAGCCTTCATCGTCCGCAGCTTTCATTCCCAACTTGGAATTGTGCGCGTCATGATATCCCAGAAATTTCATGGCTTCCCATCAGACCTCTGCACAAGTCCACACAGCCATGCCTGCATGCTTTCGGATATCCATATACTTTGCCTCACAATCCCAACCGTTCCTCCGCTCCTGGCGTTGAAAACGAACGGCTGATTGGTATAACATGGCGACTGCCGCGGCCGGAAGCTTTTACTGAGACAGGACCTTTTGAACTTCTTTCACTGGCGCCGAAGGCCTTCAATTGACCATCAGAGCTCTATCCTGATGTACGATTATGCGCTGGTGTATGTGGCTGTCTGCTTCTGACTCCCCTTTCCCCTCCAAACAAGTTCTAACAAGTGCCTCTGCCACAATAGTCATGTTATTCACACAATCCCCCTTGCGATAGCCTTGTCTATTGCCCTAGGACCTCTGTTGACACGACGGGATATCTACAAGATATGCTTCCTTCAACTTGTCGCTGTCACATATACAATTCCTTGGTGGGTGTAGGATCGACGACTTCTGTTCTTCAGAGATGCTGACTGGCCAAGGGATTCATACCTGATTAGAACCAGGATCTGGAGTATGTCATTTCTATTCCTATATTCCTGCTGGTTTCTGACATAATACTAACTTGCGCTAGCATATCCGCAACACGTCGTTATAGGGCCGACTCTGTTTGATATTCCTGCCGAAGAGGTCTTCTTCTTTGGCATCCAGACTTACATCGTAGGCATCCCCCCTGTTTGCGAGCAGTCAAGATCGCTAAATTTGAATAGTCAACTTGTCTCCAGATACTCCTCAGCAAGCCGGTGCTCACTGCAATTCATTTGCATAATGAAGCTGACTCACTGGACCCTGTTGGCAAGTCTCTCTTGCCCTGGAAGCGAGCAGGTCAGCTCGTTTTTAGCTTGGGTTTGGTGGTTCCAATCCTGCTCCGAGAAAGTAATGCCGAAGGCCATTACATGCGACTGATCCTGATTTGGGCTTGCCCGGTAATGTTGATGCTTTGGACATTTGCCTACCAGCTACTTCTCACGATGCCGTGGACTACAACCTGGTTACCTATCGCCGCACCGACTTTATATCTGTGGATCGTCGATACATTGGCTCTCCGCCGAGGCACCTGGAGTATCGAATCAGGCACAAAGCTCAGCATTCAGGTCTGGCCTCATTTGGAATTAGAAGAAGCCGTCTTCTTCCTTCTGACAAATACCCTTATAGTGTGGGGGGCGACTGCGTTTGACAACGCCGTGGCTATTCTCGACTCCTTTCCGGGGAATTTCCCCACGGTCCCCGGCATCCCTCCTCCGACCTTGATGTTCAAAGCTCTATTTCTGGCCACTTCAAAATATGACACTGCGCGTCTCCACGGCTTGCGAAATGCACACACAGTTCTTGCTAAGAAAAGCCGATCATTCTACCTGGCCTCGGGAGTCTTTGTGGGTCGTCTGAGAATCGACCTGATACTCCTCTACGCGTTTTGCAGAGTGGCTGATGATCTGATTGACGACGCGCCTTCTGCAACTGAGGCAAGTAAATGGGTGCAATATTTTACCCACTTCCTTGATGTTGCGTACTCACCGAAAAGGGACGAGAACCGATTACAGCAGGCTCTAGACCCATTCCCACCCAAGGCACGGTCTATCTTACGACTTCTTCCCACGGACAAGTTGCCCTCGGCGCCGCTCTACTCGCTTCTAGATGGCTTCCGGATCGACCAGAAATTCTTTGATGCAGAATCTAGGCGCAATCCCCCCATTGCCACTTTTGCTGACCTTGAACGATATGCAAGCTGTGTCGCGGGTACGGTCGGTGAACTCTGTTTGAACCTTGTCTACTATCATGACCCCGATCAAGGAACACAGACAGATACAAGACAACAGTGCCTCACTGCTGGTGCGAAAATGGGCCGAGCCCTGCAATACATCAACATTGTCCGAGATGTCAAGACAGACGCCGATGCCGGACGATGCTACATTCCTAGCGAGTGGCTTGATAATTCAACGCAAGGTTTAGCCGTATTTCGAGCCGACCAAATTGCGCTCCATAGAAGGACAGTCTTGGACGTTGCATTCGCCATCTACGCTGAGAATAGAGATGCAATCGAGGCGCTGCCCTATTATGCGCGAGGTGGCATCCGTGTCGCGGTCGAGAGCTACATGGAAATTGGCAGGGTGATGCGCGAGCGAATGCAGCAGGGCAGGCCTTTAGATTTTGCTGGTGGTGGCAAGAAGGGACGATCTAGCGTCCCCAAGCCGAGGAGGATATGGGTTGGATGGAAGACAATGATGGGGAGGAGGGGTGCTGTGTGATAGAGGGGCTTTACTTGATCACTTCAACCTTCAATCTTCATAGCTGTGTGTCATTGCGAGTCTCGCTCTGGCCCTGTTCGGGGGTCTGACCAAGGGACCGTTTGGCTGCACCTAGCGTGCGGGGCCTGCGCGTCGACATCAGAGCCAGATCTTCCCATTATCTTGGACATTGCAAACTCCCCTGCGTTAATCCATTGCCAACTTCTTCGTGACTACAGCCGTGACCTGCTCACTCCTTAGATAAGATCGCAGACGCCAATAGAGCTGATTCCGTGCTCAGGATGGACTGTGGACCGAATCCGCCCGGAAATGTTCACATGCATGTGTCTTGAATCCGAAGTCATGTTGTCATTGACTCTGACGGCCTCGTGCCGACAGAGGGTACAACATGTCTTTCTAACAGGCCTCTACTTGTCACTAGATCTCTGAATATTCATAGCAGTTGTGACGAACAAGTGCTGGGATATGGACAAGCCCAAGAGCGTTGTCATCGTAGGTGAGCTTTTTATGAGACTGGATTTTGTTGTCGGCCTTGGTTCATTTTGCTGACCCCGAGACAACACAATACAGGCGCAGGTGCCGGCGGTATTTCCAGCGCAGCCAGGCTTGCCAAAGCTGGGTTCCGGGTGACCGTGCTCGAAAAGAACGACCACACCGGCGGACGCTGCAGCCTGATACACGATGGCGGCGGCCACCGCTTCGACCAAGGCCCCTCTCTCCTCCTCCTGCCCGACCTGTTCGCGGAAGCCTTCGCCGACCTAGATACATCCCTCGAGGCCGAAAGGGTCGAGTTGCTCAAGTGCGAGCCCAACTACAACGTCTGGTTCGGCGACGGGGAGTGCATCGAGCTGTCCACGGACGTGGCGCGGATGAAGAAAACAATCGAGCGGTGGGAAGGCAAAGAAGGCTTCGAGAGATACCTCGCCTGGATGAAGGAGGCTCACGTCCACTACGAGGCCAGCGTCGTCCATGTGCTGCGGAAGAACTTCTCTACCATCTGGGCAATGGCCCGTCCGAGCTTCCTGCCCTACCTCATGGCGCTCCACCCGTTCGAGAGCATCTGGAACCGGGCGGCGCGCTATTTTCTGACGGAGCGGCTGAGAAGAGCCTTCACTTTCGGAAGCATGTACATGGGCATGAGTCCCTTTGAAGCCCCCGGCACCTATAGCCTGCTCCAGTATACGGAACTGGCTGAAGGCATATGGTCAGTGTCCAGTGACAGAACCACGATTATAAACTTGCGCACTAACGAGAGAAAAGGTATCCCAGGGGCGGGTTCCATCGAGTCTTGGATGCTTTGGTCAAAGTTGGACAACGTCTCGGGGTCGAGTACAGACTGTCGACACCCGTTGCCCGAGTAAACGTGGACGGATATTCTCAACGTGCGACAGGCGTCACGCTGGCCTCGGGAGAGGTCGTGAACGCAGATATTGTCTTGGTCAATGCTGATCTCGTCTATGCCTACAACGAATTGTTACCTCCTTCTCGGCAAGCTACAACAATATCGAAGAAACCAGCTTCTTGCTCCAGCATCTCATTCTACTGTAAGTTCCCCACTTCGCAACTCTTACACATCGAGCTAAGTTGTCCAGGGTCAATGGACAAGATGGTCCCTGAACTCCACACACACAACGTCTTCCTCGCCGACGACTACCAAGATAGCTTCGACGACATCTTCAAGCGACAGCAAATTCCCAAAGAACCTTCATTTTACGTCAATGTGCCTTCACGGATCGACCCGAGTGCTGCCCCTCAAGACCGAGACAGCGTGGTGGTGCTTGTCCCATGTGGTCACCTACTGGAGGGCGAGGCTGATCGAGGGCTAAACCCCCACAGCGCACAAGATTGGCAGGCCATGGTTGCGAAAGCTCGGCATGCAGTCTTTGAGACGATTCGTCTCCGGACGGGGGCAGATCTTCAATCTCATGTCGCTCACGAGATAGTCAATACGCCGAGCACGTGGAAAGACAGATTCAATCTAGATAGGGGAGCCATTCTTGGATTGAGCCATTCATTCTTCAATGTGTTGAGCTTCAGACCAGGCACGAAGCATACGACAATAGCTGGCGTGTATTTCGTTGGAGCCAGCACTCACCCGGGCACGGGTGTGCCCATTGTTCTCGCTGGTAGCAAGATCACCACTGAACAAATCCTTGATGACCTTGGTATGGTCAAGCCATGGTCTCCAGGAAACCACAAGAGAAGGGTTGTGAGTGAACTGGATAAACTGGGAACGCGTCCTCTGGATCTCGTGCACAGTCTTCTTGGTCTGTTACTTGTGGTGTTGGCGATGCTTGTGCTCTTGATGAAATGATAATATGTCTGAAGAACTTGGTCGGTGATAGACGTCAGCGAAAAGGTGAACATACAAAAGACTAGTTCTTCCATTTTCTTCAACCATTCCCAAGTTCTAGTTCCTTCGTATCCATCTACTTGTCAAGGTCGTCCTTCTGCAGCCTCGCGTCATCGTGGCGGCTCTTCTGTTCAGCCACGGAACGAAAAACGGCAAGAAGGACCCATCCCACTTAGCCGTAACTGGCAGCTCTGCCGCATTGGACGTTGCGGATAATACTCCGGAATGACTTGGTGTGTTGTCAGCACTCCTATGACATCATTGCTCTGGTACCACTGCTGCTTTCATCCACTCACATCACCTCACACAAGGATCCTGGCGGTGGGCGTCGATCATCAAGGAATCACCGGAGAATTCCATCGAATCATTGGCGCCAGGGCAGCTCTAAGTCTCCCAAACGTTTTTGCGGTAGAGCCTTGCTCCCAGCATTTCCGACACAAAATACCTCTGACTAAACCTCTACAGGATGACTGGCTCACAAGGCGACCTTTCTCGTCTGAGGTAGCGAGATGGCCTTGCCAAAAGCCCCTTGTCCTTTTTCTGTCGACGTCTCACGATGGACCACCAATGCCGGATGAGCCTAATGCCAGCTGTCTTCGCAATTTTCTCCGGTTCGCCACAGGATTGGAAGTCCGACCTCCTGATCGAGTCCAGTCCCAGCTCCCATCCCAAGTCAAGGCGGTCTGCACTAGCCATCAGCCTGCATTTGCTCCCAAAGGGTCGAAGCCGACGACATCCGAGCGCGAAATGGTTTGTCGGAATCGTCGAATGACTGTCACGGTAGCCTCAACAAATCTCAGACCACCACGACTGCAGCCCCGGGTGTCTGGACTAACCTGCGCTGACCACGGCGTCCACTCATTGTTGAACGCGATGTTGCCGATGCCAACAGAAAGATGAGCTAATGCGTGGGTCGCTTGGTGACAGTCACCTGTTTGGGACATGAAAACAAAGAGCCTACCAGAGACATCCCAGAGCCTTGCAGCCCAAGGGGCAGATGACCCTCCCCAGATGAGGAAATCTTGTAGCGCAGCTTACTTGATACGTTCTGCCAGAAGATTCCCTCGCTGCCCGGCTCCTACGGCAGCGTCAAGTCCATGGAGAAACTCTCGAGGAATCGCCGGGAATGCTTGTTTTCAACAATGCAGCATACCATTTTCTGTTGACTGAGCGAAGCGCATCGACGTCACGTTGCTGCCATCCGTGAGAGTCCGTATCTCAAAGGCACAAAGACCATGATCTATTAAACCCCTCTTTCACCCCGAGATAACAGGTCTATCCTCACTTCAACCAGCACTGTCAAGACATCAGAGGCCAATAGTCCTTTCGCAAAGTCAGTCCCAGCACTTTTTGATCGAAGCCACGACAATCTCCCGCACCAATTACTTTTCTCAAGATGGGTAACGGCGTCTTCCGACACAATGGTTTCACCAACACGGTGACTACCAACAACCACATCACCTCCCGTGGTAGTGATTGGTACTGGACTGTCTGTGCGGTCATGACTGTCTCGACCCTCGCCTTCATGGCCCTGTCCTTCTTCAAGCAGCGATCTCAGCGCCTGCTTTACTACCTCGCTGCGGGCCTCACCCTGGTCCCGGCCATTTCGTACTTCTGCATGGGATCCAACTTGGGCTGGACTGCCATCTTGGTTGAATGGGTTCGCAGCGACCCCAAGGTTCACGGCGACATGCGCCAGATCTTCTATGTCCGCTATATCGATTACTTCATCACTATTCCTATCTTGTTCACCTTGTTGTTGTTGAGCTGCGGTCTCCCCACCTCGACCCTCCTGTACACCCTGCTCATGGGCGAGGTCTGGGTCATCATGGCTCTTGTTGGCGCCCTTGTCCACAGCGAATACAAGTGGGGTATGTATTCAAGCGGGATTCGGTATTGGTTACTCAGTCCGCTAATTCTGCATGTCAACAGGTTTCTTCACCTTCGGAGCTGTTGCGCTGTTCTTCGTCGGTTTCGCCATCATCTACGAGGGACGTGCCTATGCCCGCACTCTCGGACAAGACATCCTCCGTGTCTACACCGTCTGCTCCGCCTGGGTCGTTTCCCTCTGGATCGTCTACCCCATCATCTGGGGTGTCTCAGAGGGTGGTAACGTCATTGCTCCCGACTCTGAGGCTGTCTCTTATGGTGTCTTGGATATCCTGATCAAGCGTAAGTCGTTCACTTGTCAACTACTCGTCCTTGACAGACGCTGACGATGCCTGCCAATAGCTGTCACCGCTGCTTTCCTTATCTGGGGCATGCGCAATGTCGATATGGAGCGTCTGGGCATCCACATCCGTGATGTCAACTCCGCCCCTAGCGCTGCTGCTCACTCGGAAAAGGCTGCTGAGGCTGCTGCCGCCGGCGAGGGTGTCGCTCCCGCCCCTGCTCCCGAAGCCAGCGCCGTGTAAAGGGCCGACCATCACGCAGTATCAGGCCCAATCTTCGATATTTTCGACGGACAACTTACCGGCTTTGCCTGAATGCGCCCACTAGGGGTTTCTCAACCCCTCTCAACTTTCAAGCCAAGAGGTCCATGCGAAGTACTTTTTTTGCTGGACTTTCAACACGATACCCAACCCTACCAACCAACCAAACCCGGTAATGCGACATGTCACTCGTTACACAAGATGGACAAAGGAGATTTTCTTTTACGACCAAGTCACTATTAAACACTAATTCACGGAGTCGAAGGATGCAGAAAGAAGGGAGAGGAGAGAAGGGGGCAAAGTGTCTGATTTATCACGTCGCGACGATACCCAAGATACCATGTACAAGCAGCTCGGCCGCCATTGGGGGGTTAATTAACCTTACGAGTACGAGTAGTATTATAGGACTTATTTTGACGTACTAATAATATCGAAACCATTAGCAATGTCAATGTCAATGTCAATAGAGATTTCATGGTCATAACACAAAGTTAGTCTACACTTTGCACCTTGTCTGATTTGGAAGTTTCGTCTACAAAGGAACTACTTATGATCACTCGGTACAGACAAGAACTGGCAGAAGTACGGTGCAGTAGTACTGAGTCGAGTCCCTCCATTAGCTACCTATGTACTTACCTACAAGGAGGGTGCATAAGATATGTAGATGTTTGACACCTCGTGACCTGCGTGCCATTCTACATTCATACCCTCCAACTGGATACCTAGTGCCTAGCGAGCTGTGTAGGTGCTTGTGATACTCTTACCCAAGTCGTTAGTCATACAAATACTCGTTCGAGTCGATAACTTGGTTTAGTCTAAATCCCGGTCTACTTGTAAGGCTAGGCGCTTACTTTTCTCGAATCCCATCCAACAGGAAGAAGGAGAGAAGAGAAGGAAGAAAAAAAAAAAAATCTCTCATCCATGATCCGTGGCTGCTTGTTCTGTCGTGAGTGAGTCGTGGTGGTGTGGGTTGGTTGGGACTTGGTAAAAGAAAGGCCCGGGAGGCCCACACCACCTATTCTATGCCATCCCACCCCATCCCCGAACCAGTCAGCTTTTGTCGTCAACCACCATCAGGCTGCGAGGGTCGGGTATGCTCGGCAAGAAAACAATTACTATGAGTAAGAGTGAGATACCTCCTCCGGGCTGGGCTCGAAAATTCTGCAGGCGGGCCAAGAAAGAGACAGAGAGAGAGCGACGCACACAAACAAGAATCGGCGCGACTGCGACTTCGTCAAGGAGGACTCGATACTCCATACTCAAAAGAGTTAAAATGACGCGGTATCGAGTACTTTTCCCCAGAGAAAGCTTTTTCCCAGCCAGCGTGCCAGGTCCACCATAGACATTAAATCACTCGCGAGCGCACAAGTAGGTATACCGACACGTGACCGACCAAGAGTCAAGACCGTACCAAGTACGAGGTACAGTGCGCCGAGAACACTAATAATCTTTTAGTCCAAACTCTTCACTCCCCTTATCATTTGTGTGGATACGAATTGCCTCTGGAGGGCTTGGGTCCAAGCTGTCGCAGAGTGGACACCCAAGTTACTCGTGAGGTAGTGGAGCACATAGCAAAAACCCTTTTTTCCTCGCTTCACGTCTTGCTTAGCCCATTCAGTCTTAGCACAAAGGCTCTCGGAGATTTTTTTCTGCAAAGACTCGGTACATGTGCTTGATGTGTACTCAGTAAGAGTCTGAGGTGCAGTATCAAGTCCCGCGTCGTGTGGGAGCAATCATAAAAGGAGAATTTCGGGTTCATGGTTGTTAAGAGAAAGTCAGCACCTGTGGATGGTCAATATGATCGATACCTTCAGAGTTAGTCACCAATTCCGCTGAAAGGCGATTTCCTCAACAGGGCGCGGTGGAAAGGAGAAGGCCAAGCCAAAAGAGCAGCGTCGCATGAGTTTGGGCAGTGTGCACGAGCGTGTTCCCCCAAGGATCGACTCAAAGTAAACAGACTTCCTTGGACGGACGGTTGGCCCGAGAAGGAAGGACGGAAAGAGGCCTATCTCGCTTTCAATCGATAGTTCGTCGCTGAGATACACAATCAAGGACAAACCACACCGTCTTTGACGCCATCTGTTGACGATCCGGAGAAGCTTGCACCGTAGCTTACCGTGTCGTTGACCGTGTTCCTGCACAGGTCGAGGTTGTGAAAAGACCGTTGTCGATGAAATCCTACCCCAGAACAGACGAGATTTGCTACCATATTGTTCTGCAGATCATCTTCTTGTGTCTCCACAAAGTATTGCAGCATTCGATATTAGTATGGGTTTATCCAAAACCGCATTCAGTCTTGAGGGTGTGCTCACTGGATCCAACTCCACCTTCTGAAGTTGTAGGTACGAGTGATAGTACCGAGTACAGAGAAGGTACTCGTATGTCAGCAGGCCTTCGTCTTCAACGACTTGCGAAAAAACAGTCAATCTTGATCAGACGCTTGCCGTAGACGAAGGAAATGGCCAAGGATGGCCCAGGGTTCTCCACGATCTCAAGAACGGTAAGGGCGGAGAGCCACTGATATCGGTC